CTTTGCAGGGCTGAGGACTGCAGCCCACACTTGTGCTTGGTGAGCAGGCGCCCGCATCAGGGCCTGCCCTGGGGGTGCTAGAGAGGGCCCTGGGACCAGCCTGCAGGTTGAGGGGGCAGCTCTTCAGCCACTGGCTTTGCCCCCTCCCGGCAGCCCACCAGCCTGAAGATTCTATAGCGCCCAGAGGTTCCAGCTCCATGGGCTGCTGCCCTGTTCTCAGAGGCCTGGGTCCAGGCCCTCCAGGGCCCTCTCACAGACACCAGCACAGCCTCCACTCAGCCGTCTCAGTTTCCTTTCCATGGGGCCCATCTCTAAGCATCTACATTTTCATGATGTCAGCCTCTGCCCTGTGTTCCCACAGCCCAAGGGATGGGAGCTGCTTCCTGAAGTCATTGCACCCTTGGGGCCTGAGGGTCCTCCTCTTCCTCTCAGTTACCTTGGTACCTGCACCCCCCCGTGAGATTCTCTGCTCATCCCATGTATGGCTTCTTTGTCTGAGATTCCCATCCCAGTAGAATGGAGGGAAGCCCAGTGAGATGTGAGACCAGGCCGGCTATGGTGTTCGATGCTGCTGTCTCTGGTGGCTGGAATGGTATGTGGCTGCCCTCATCCACAACCCATGTGCTGAACGGAGTGGGTGGACTCACCTGCCAGTGAGGTATGAGTGGCAAATGTCCTGGATCTGGCTCTTGTTGAGCATTCTGCAGTGTCATCTCCTTGTCACACCTTGGTGTTGGAATTTTACAGTCCATTTGTTGGTGTCGGAATCTTACAGTCCAGTTGTTGGTGTCGGAGTCTTACTGTCCAGTTCTTGGTGTTGGAGTTTTACAGTCTAGTTCTGTGGTTTAGAAGACTTGGGTGTTGGTTAGCTATGAGACCTTGGGGATGTGGCCTGGATGATGCGGGCCTACAGCTGGATGGTCCTGGAGTGGGTGTGTCTCTGCTGCCCATGCCGTCCCTCAGCTGGGAACCTGTGTTACTCTGGTTCATTTCTCCCGTCTCCCTTCATGATGTGGATTTCACTGCTGGGGAGGAGAGGTTTGCTTCACAACCTGGCCAATGAGCTTTTCTAGCCTGGGCTTAGCCCCACACCAATTATGGCTCTGTCTTCCCTCTGGGTGTTGTGGAACACACACTTCAGGCCATCCTGCAGCTGCTGCATTTTCCCAGCATCTTAGACCAGGCCTGTAAGGGAGCCCAGGTTCAGCTGCTTGCTGCTTGAAAGCCAGACACGAGAGGTGAGAGTGGCAGAGAAAATCAGATGTATTTGGAGAGCAAGCAGATCAGGAAGATGGTGACCTTCTGTCACAAAGACCATCTGAAGTCAGTACACAGTTCAGGCTCTTCTTATGCTAAGGGCAGGGGCAAGAGGAGGGTTTGGGACCAGGAGGTGACCGATGACCACAAATATCTGGGTGCCAGCAAGGGTCCGAGGAGGTTGGGAACTTCTCTGCCCTTGGCCAGGGCTCAGTGCTCCTGTAAATCCTTAACAAAGCCTAGTTAGCTGTTTACACACTTGCCCTTTTATCTCAAAGTTAGTTTGGAAAACTACTTGCTTGCTGTTTTTGCATTATCACCTCAGTATTCGAAAAGCTAGGAGTGGGTAAAGACCCCTTAAGCAATCGTGGAGGATGTGCTAGTTCTGCTGAGTTGTTGTTGCAGGCTGGGGGCTGGGCTTGGGGCACCTTAGTGCCTGCTGCCTGCTTCACAGAGGTGGCCTAGGTGGCAGAGAGCATGTCGGAAGCCGCTCAGGTCACATCCGGTTCTCGGAGCCTGGTCTTGGCACATGGTTCTATTTCGCTGAGTCCTGGTCCTCAAGCTCCGGAAGCCTGGGCTCTGAAGCAGAACAGTTGCTGTCCTGTGGCCATGTGTGACTCACATCTGCTCCCGATGGGGAGGACTCCAGCCCCACATGTGCCTCCACACAGATGTGAGCGCACCCTCACTCAAGATGCAGGGTGTGGGTTTGTTGGACTCCCTTCAAGGCTGCCCAACATCCTGTGCTGAGGGCGCTTCCCAGTGCAGCCCCTCACCCCTCTGCCTTGCCAGACACCTGTGCTGTGCTCGTCACCTGAAAGATGGCTCATTCTTGCCTTTGCACACCCTGGCTTTAAAGCAGAGGGCAGGGAATGGTGGTATTCTTCTAATTAAATGACCACACAGAGCTGTGATTTAAAGCGCTTGTGAACTTTTGCACCGCAATTCAGTGATTCAAGAGGAGTTTTTACAGCCCTTGACTATTGAATTGGCCCATGAATAGTTTAAAATGAAACTGGAGCTCAAAATAGCCTCATAATGTATGCCTCCTGTGAGCTCTGTGCCTGTTTTTAATTGTATTTTGCGTTTTTGGTTATGGAGTGCCTGGAGGGGCAGTGGGCCCTGGCCAGTGCTGCACCCGGAGTCAGTGTCTGTGCAGGGCTGTCCGTGGTGGCTGATGTGATGGGAAAGACTCAGAATGGTTTCCTCTGACCAGAGAAGACTGACTGGCTGTAGGGCGTTTCCCCACCCACCAAGCAAGTAGTCCAATCTGCCTGGGACACCAACCAGGTGTCCCCTCACTCAGTTCCGTTCTGACACTGTCCACCTGGAGGTGGCATCAGACCCCTGAGGCGAGGGCTCCATCCCCAGCTCTGGTGCCAGTCACAAGCCACAGGTGTGTCTCTGACTGGCTGGCTATAATTTGGGGTTCCTCCCACCCAGTTGGGATTCCCCTTGGGTTTGATTAGTCTGCTGGAGTGTCTCACAGAACTCAAGGAAACTTGTGTTTACTAGTTTATATATATAAATAACCCGGGTTGCTGCGAAGGACGCAGTTAAATAAATGAGCATGGCGAGGAGTAGGGGAAAATGTGGAGCTTCCACATCCTCCCTGGGCCACCACTCTCCTGGAACACCAGAAGCTCTCCCCTCTCAGTCCTTTTGAGTTTTTATGGAGGTCTCATTACGTGGGCATGATTGACTCCACTGCTGGTCATTGGTGAGCTACTCAGCCTTCAGCTGCTCTCCTTCCCCGAGCTTGGGGGTAGAGCTGAAGTCCTAAGCCTCTAGTCCAGCCTTGGTCTTCCTGGTGACCAGCCCTGTCCTGCAGCTGCCCAGGGGCGGCAGCCACAGTTGGTCACTGGCAAATGGAAGACCTCACTCGGAAGAGTCCAAGGATTTTAGGAGTTGTGTTCCAGGATATGGCTTGAAGAAGAGATACATATTTCACAAGATCACATGAGGCTGAAATGAAACTCATGCATCCCGAACACCAGTGCATTGGCCCTGCATCTGTGGGCTTGTGCAACTTTTGCCGGAGCTGGCCGAGGGTGGCTAGGCCGGGGGTTCCCACCACGCTTGGCTAGATCAGGACCACCACCGAGTCCCTTCTGACATTCTGTGAGTGTTGGATTCACATTCACTTTCAACTTACCCTTTATTAAAAGATTCATACTAAGTTACAGTTGAAAGCCCTGTATTGACTTCACTCAGATATGAAGTGGAAAACATGAGTCCAGTGGAGACCTCCATCAAAGAAAATGTTATCTGCCAGCCCTGGGAATTAAGCTCTTCCTCAAGTCATGCAACTAAAGCAATGTAGAAACAGTTGGATGCCCAGGAAGGTTGAAGCCTGAGGCTGATATTCATGGCCCCATCCCACATTTCTGTGTTTTCAAATAGCCTCCTGGCTGTCCCTGAGGGTCGCCTCACAGGACTGTTGTCGGTGTTACCTTTTCTCTCATCCCAGTGCTGTGTTTTATTTCTTTGAGATTTAGTGAAGATTTCCTTTGGAAAGAGATTTGTGATGCTTAATACAGTCATGTGCAGCTTCTGTTTTGCAGCGTTGTCCCATGCCTTGCCTGCCCAGCCCTGTCTGGTTGAGGCTGGGCCCTCTGCTGACTCGCCCCCTCCCTGGGGTGGCCTCTCCTCTCTCCTGGCTGTGTCCCTTCCTCGGAATGCCCTTGTGTCCGGCCGTCCCATCCGGGAGGTAGCATCGTGACTCACCCTCTTCCTGGGGCAGCCTCTCCTCTCTGCGCCTTGCTGTGCTTTTCCTAGGAGTGCCCTCCTGTGGGGAGGTGAAGTCCTGGGGCTCCTAGAATCACAGAAAGCCATTACATCATGGGTGCATTCTTGGAGTCAGGGTCAGTGGATGCTGTCATTTTCCTGGCTCCCAAGATGGCTTCTGAAGAACAGAGAGAGAGAGAGGCAAGATCCAAACCCCTGAGGCCCTTTACTGCCAGGCCATGAACTCAGAGGTTCACCAAGAGTGGTTGGGAGCCACCAAAGCCTTCAAAATCACATGACCCAGCCCCTCTCTGCCGTCTGAAGAGACAGGTTGGTGCCCCGTGGCAGAGGGGCTGAGCGAAAGCCGTTGAGGAGCTGTTATGGAAACAGGTGACAGGCGACCAGCACAGTGACTGTGGCTGCAGCTGTGGGGAACGTGCAGGGAAAAGGAAGGTTTAAAAAGCGGAATTGAAAGGAACCATCAGACACCTGAAGGAGTGGACAGGGAGAGGCCTCTTGGGCAGCCTGGCATTGACCCTGCCCTTGGCGTCAGCCCCCAGGAGGCCTCTTGGGTTCCCAGTGCTCTGTGCCAGGCTGGGCTTTCAACCCTGCAGAATGTTTTTAGAACTGGCCCCCCCAGGCGCCCGGCATTTGCGTCCCTGCACCACACCGCACATCTGCGGTGATTCAGAGGGAAGCGCTGGCTCTGCAATCTCGCTCATTCAGAAGCCCCGTCTCCTGAAGGGCTGCATCGCCCACAATTTTTCCCATTGTGTGTGGAGTTGAGCTCCCCTCTCCCTCCCTGCCGTGTTCTGGGATCACCCTGGGAGTCTATTTGAAATCCAGAAACTCCTGAAAGGCCTTAAGTAGCTATTCAGCAGTGCGGAAATGGCAGTGAGGGGGTTGCACGTGCAGTTCTATTTTAGGACGTCCTGGTGGGCTTGTTCCTTGGCTGGGGCAGGTTGGGGTAGTCACCCTGGGCTTCACTGCTCTGCCCTCTTGTCTCTCCCGTGCAGCGCCCGGGGGCTGGAGAAGGCCAGGCAGCAGCTGCAGGAGGAGCTCCGGCAGGTCAACGGTCAGCTGCTGGAGGAGAGGAAGAAGCGTGAGACACATGAGGCACTGGCCCGGAGGCTCCAGAAACGAGTCCTGCTGCTCACCAAGGTGATTTATGCCCTCACATTTGGATCAGAGTCACAGGGAGCTGTGGGGGAGCGCACACCCAGTCAGCAAGATCTCACTCTCCATGGCAGGAGTCCTGCAGCTGGGTCAGGGTTTGCACTTTGGCTCTGGGTTGCCAGGAGGGTTCTGGGAATGCCAGAGGGTGCTCCCAGCCCTGGTGTTCCCTGTGGCACTCTCTGGGCCTGGTGTGTGCTCCACTTTTTTCGGTTCCCCCAGCATCCCAGTGTCCACTCCTGGCCTGGTGCTGTTCCCTGGAGAGTGTTCCCTGTCCCTGTGGACCCTTTGCAGGGTCTCTGTCCCTTGTAATCAGCACTCTCATGCTTTGCTGTCCAGTGATGCAGATTCTGCTGTGTGGGTCTTGGCCCAGGGCTTGGGACAAAGGCTATCACCTGCTTCCAGGTGTGCCCTAGCCCCACCTGTGGGGTGGCTACATGGCCTGATTCTCTTATCATCAGCACCTGCAAGGGTTCTGATGTCTGGCACCCTAAGCAGAGGTTGCTGGAGCGTAAAAAGAAAGTTTTTGTGAGTGTTGTTTAAAATATTCCTTGGGCACTGAAATTTCAGAAGGCAAGGCAGGAAATAAGTCAGTCTGTCCTCAGATGCCCTCTAGGCCAGGGAGGCTGTCCAGCTTGCTGGGGAGAGACTCCCCCTGCCTGCCTCCACTAGTACTGAATGGGTGGAGGGCTGTGCCACCCTGGGGCCCAGGATGGGTGCCGCACCTGTCAAGGACCGAGAGTTGTGCCTGATGAATGTTTGCTTGTTCTTAATTGTTTTTGTTGAAAACCAAGGCTTGTTGCTGCTGGGACCCCTTGGTTATGGAGCTTTGAGAAAATGAGTTACATTTCCGCTACTGAGGACTGCTGTTTTATGGCTTCTCCAGCACATTCCTTCGGGGGGCACCATGCTGTCTCCTTAAGGAAAACTTCACATGGGCCCAGGTCCTCTGAGCACCGTGTGGGCTTCCTGGAACACAGGCTGAGCTGACCTCTGTGCACAGCTCAGATGCTGACCCCAGAGCCTTGGCTTTGCAGGTGCAGCCCAGACAGGGACTCTCCAAAATGTCCTCACATGGCTTTTCAGCTGGAGTTGTCTGCCACCTCTGACAGAGGGGACACTGAGCCCTGTGGCATGGTCAGGCATGGTATATTTCAGTGGAGCACTCTCTGGGATCTTCCTCTGTGTTCCCTTCTCTTCTGACACTGTGTCTGCTAGTGTGTCACCTTCTAAGCAAGATGCATGAGGTGCATGCGGCACAGATATGTGGGCACAGCCCTTGGAGAATTCATTCTCCAGCCTGGTCAGGCAGTAGCAACAAACGAGCACCTTCCACCCACCTCAACAGAAGTGGATGGTGCGGTGGTGCCACAGAAGGGATTTTCTCAGGAGGTGGCATTCCTGCAGGGACCCAAGGATCTCCCTTTTGTGAAATCATGTGTGGAAAACCACAGCGGAGGGGAGAGAAGGCCACTTGTCACAAAGTACTGTTGGTGTCAGCCTCCAGGCCAGGAACAAGAGGTGATGGCAGCTTGGGCCCAGTAGATGACCACTGTGGAGGTTCAGGCAAGTGAGTCTGACCCTGCCGCTGAGGAGAGGCCCTGGGAAGCAGAGGGGGCGAGGCTGTGCTCGGTCGGGGTGGCAGGATACCTGGGCTTGGTGGTCTTTGGGTGCGCGATGACGTGCTATGGTCCCATGATATGGGACGGTCAGAGCTTCCTGGGGGAGGAAGAGTAGGAGGGCTGGACTGGGAGTTGGGCCTTTCTCTGGGATTTCAGATGTTGCCCATTTTCTCTGGGTCTCAGTTCACCTTTCTGCTGAACTTTGGACTCAGGCCTGATGACCTAGGGGTGCTTGCGAGCCTGGCTGTGTTCAGGTGGCACCCCCTTCATTGTGCCTTCTTGTTGGGCCCACTCCCGGGCTTTGGGCTGGGGCTGGGGAGGGACATCGCCACACCAGCCAGATGGACAGCACTTTGGAGTGGTCCTGCATGCATGGCCTGGGTGAGTTACAGGTGTGGCCCCCACCGGAGACCCGCCCAGCCTCGACTGAGGCTCGTCCAGTGGGAACTTCCTGGTCTCTTAAGCAAAGTCAGAAGTTGGAAGCTGAGAGGAAGCATTCCCTTTACAGGTCCTATGTGAGCCTGAGTGTTCTCATGTGCTATGTCTGGCCTGCAGCCTGACATTCTGTGACCCACACCATACTTGTGCTGCTGTCTGCATCCCCTCTTAGTGCCAGGGCTCCTGGCATGATGAGGAAGGAGTAGCTTGCTGTCAGTGGGTGTCTGGTGTGGTTTTCATCCCCGGTGAGGCTCCCTCGTGGTCCAGTGGAACCCTGGAGCCTCCTGCGAAGTCTTTACTCGATCTCCTTCCTGCCATTTCTCTCTGAGGGTCACCCCTGGTGCAGCCAGGGCAGGAGGGTTTTTGTTCTTCTCTGCTGTGCTTCGCAGGTGGAGAGCCTCTGGCACTTTCTGGCCTATGCTGGCCTCAGCCCGACCCTGCTGTGCTCTTGGGCCTGCTCTGTGTTAGTGAGAAGGTGGATATTGATCAGCGGGCACGGAGTGGTTGTTTATCCTGACAAAGGATTGATCCCAATCACCCATGTAGCCCCAGGACTGGGATGCAGGATCCGTCCACCCAGCCGTGATGAAGCCGTTTGATCGGCCAGCTGGAGGGAGCAGTGTGCCTGCTGCTCTGGGCCTGTGCATCTTGGTATCGGCTGCTGCTCACCTCAGCTCTGTACAGCAACCCGTCCAGTTGGCTGGTGGTCGAAGGGTGCGTTCTCTTAAGGAGCACCCGAGGTGGCTGCTCCTGGCCTTGAAGGTTTCCTGGTCGCTGACCTGTCAGGTCCTCCACAAGCCTCTGTCTGGTGGAGCTCTGGGCCTCTGCGTCCCATTGGAGGTCCTGCCTATGTGCTTGACATTTTAGTACACAGTGCTTGGAGTGCGCAGTTTATTTTGAGACCTTTATCAAGCAGCTCTAGTCTAAGGATTTAATTGTTACTGATAGCTAAGAGTATAATTACCTTGGTAAAATATCATGAGTATTTTAAGCAGTTGAAAATTGGCTTCTGGAACTGGGTGAACACAAACCATTTTCCTATTTGCAGTGAGCTACTTTTCCTGTGCCCCTAGGCTTCCACAATATGGCTGTAGAGTCTTGTTTATGGAATATCAGTAATACAAGCTAACTTTTAGCAAGAAACTCAAACGATGACAGAAAAGCTTACTCTCCACTCTCTCCCATTTTCTGTTCTCGGCCCTTCCTCCCTTGTTTCAGAGCAGATTGTTTACTGGAGGCCACAGGCTGTTGGCAAGCAGGTGTCATTGGATGTCCAGTGGTGTCTGACTTTTGTCGTGGTTGCTGAGCACACAGTGTAGTTGTCATGGTGACATCCTGCCCTGGGAAGCCACACATTGGGAAAGACAGAGATTTGTGTATTCCGGAGTGGTCAACAGTCTGAGTTTTGGGCTCTGGGCTGGGGTCCTGGTTTTGTGCTCGATGAATGAGCACGTTCCTTGGCCACCTTCTCTGAAGCTGGGGTGGTAATGACAGACATTCCCCTCTCCCATGTTTTTCTTGCTGCCTAGAGCATCAGATCTGCTCATTCCCATAAAGTTCTCTTTGTCAATCAAAAAAACCTCCACAAACATTCCTGATGATCCCATGGTCTGAAAACCAACATGGCTGGGCCTGGTATGGGATTGGGAGCAGACGAGCTTTAACAGAAGGGCCGGGACCCTGGACCTGCCTGTCACACTCAATGATGGGAGAGCATGGGGAGCTGGCATCTGTATTTGCAGGGCACGGTTTAGGCCAGATCCATCTTGGGAGACAGCTGAAGGCAGATGGAAATGGGACCCAGGAGGGCCGATGGCTGCTGCTGTTTAAGAAACAATCAAATATGGGGCAGAAGGCAGGCTGCTGTAGAATATCAAGGCAGAAAGTACAAGGGGGAACCCTTCAGAAGAGTTCCATGTTCTTCCTGCCTCATATCCAGAAGAGAGGTCCTGGAAGAAGCCTCTGTCCTCCCATGAGAAGCTGCTGTCCTCCCTTGAGAATCTGCTGTCCTCCTGGAAGAAGCTTCTGTCCTCTCGTGAGCATCTGCTGTCCTCCTGGAAGAAGCCGTTGTCCTCCTAGGAGAAGCTGCTGTCCTGGGACAAGCTGTCATCCTCCTGGGAGAAGCCACCATCCTCCCAGGAGAAGCTGCTGTCCTCCTGGGAGAAGCCTCCATCCTGGGAGAAGCTGCCATCTTCCTGGGAGAAGTCACTGTCCTCTAGGAGAAGCTGCTGTCCTCCTGGGAGAGGCCTCCATCCTCCTGGGAGAAGCTGCTCTCTTCCTGCTATGTTCCTGCCCAGAGGCAGCTCTTGTGAGCCTCTGAGTTATCCCAGCCTCTTAGAGTTGGCCAGAGCTGCTTCCTGAGGCTCCTTCCATGTGCTATGGAGTCTTCTGCAGGGAATCTGAGACAGGAGAGGTGGACTTAGCTCAGGGATCCATGCACATGTTCTTAGTCAACTCTGCTAGGACCTTCTCTCTTCTTGGGGGTCATTTCTGTCCCCAGGATGCTGTGCTGGAGTCTCCCATTCCCTTTTTAGTGGAGGGACCCCGCCTGGATCTCAGTATTGAAAATTGTTTGAAAAAATGTTGCCTTCCTGTCCATGTATTCATGGACATACCTGAGGCTGGGCTCCTGTGCGCTCCCTTGCTGGGTGTTCGCTGGGCTGCATACCCAGCCTCATGGGATTCAGCATCTTGGCAGTGCCAGCTGCAAGGCCAGGCTCCTGGGCCCAGAACAGGGCATGCATGTTCCTTGCTAAAGCTCAGTGTCATCCATGGAGCCGACCTGCTCACAGAAGGGGCTCTAGGCCTCCTTCTGGTCCATCCTAGGAAGGCAGTGCAGTCCTTGCTGGGACTATGGTTTGAGGAGGCCATTCCATTTTCCCCTGACTGTGTCCCTTCTCTTTGCAGCACTGTGTATGCTGAGGGCAG